GTTTACTTGGGGGCTGGCTCTAGAGTTAAAAGTTATCGGTGGGGGCTATTACCTCTAGAAGAGTTCAGCATTCCATAGTGCGAGCAATTGCTACTTAACTCACACAAACTGGTCGTCTAGCTACCTTATATAGTGAAGAGAACTAGATCTAGTGATGATTTGCCTCCCATCGCTTCACATTATGAGACTGCTTACGATCTGGACAGCAAGCGTCTGCTGGAAGAGGATGAAACTGGAAGAAACACGATGAAGAGAACCAAATAATCATCGCTGAGTCCAGGTGTTACAAGCGGTCAACGTGCGACTTTTTCATCTTCAATCCGAAAACAACAACAACAACAACTAGAGTTAGGACTAGGAGGAGGAAATATTTGAAGCTGTTACATATATTACATATATGCGTTACGAAGGACTTAGAATACATGATTTGATAAGATTGAACGACTAAAATGTTTATTCGTTGGCTTTCGTAACGAATATACGTTACAGTTTCTAATATTTCCTCTTTATTCTAGAGCCAAAACTCAACTAAACCCAAACTTATTCTGCTCATCAAAATCATTCGTAATGAATATGCGTAACATCTTTCTTGTATTATTTCAATTCTCGCCTTATCTTTCATCGCGTAATGTGAAGAACGCAAAATCAGTAAATAGTGTCGGCCTATAAATTAGCGCAGTTAGTGTGTTTTTGCTAGCCATGGGCTTGTTTGATCAGTGCTACGGTTTGTCAGGATCTTGTTTGGCGTCCATCATCTTCAATAGAGAATATGAATAAGGATCTTGTGCAGAGCGCCATGTAATTCAAGGATCGGTTTTCACTAGCATACTTTTAGGATGACGTAACGCGTTCATTTAACATGGATATATTGCTGAAGAAAAATCTTGTGACGAATATTAGGGTATAAATGTTGTTGTTGCACGTAATTATTCTGCTGATTTGACTTTTTTTAGTTGGCTAATTATTCGTAGTAGTTTTAATTGTCTTCTGCTGAAGATTTGTCTTATCATGTCAAGGTGGACCTTTACATAGATGCAAGAATTATTCGAAAATCGAGTGGTCGAATGGGAAAAGCATACTATTGTGTTTTGATAATAATAGAATCATATCAATTAATTATGACTCAACGACTTTGAATTGTCACAATTTGGTGCTTGGATTACAAGTAATTATTATGTAATAATAATGGCTAGGTATTCACGTAATGTCTCGCCTGGTATGCCGCACCGCAGCCTAATAACCGCTCTGTGCAGCGTCGCCGATGCTGCTGGTAATTAGCTCTTGTTGAGCGAAAGCGTTTGTTCTGTATACCGGTTACGGCAATTGTGGAGCTGCATGCTTTGATTGTTCTTTCTTTCTTTCTTACTCTCATCGAGTCGAGTAAAATGACAACAAGGCTTTACCACACAGAAATTTTACGATTTATTTGTTGAATCCTGGTAGCGTACAATTAAAAAAAATCGATACCATGTATGACTTAATTATGCTGGGATGATTTCAGTCATTGATTATTATTGGGAGCAGTTACCCTATATTTTCCATCAAAAGTTATACGGCGCTTACCGTCTTCAAACTAACGGGCTGTTAATATATTAATACTTTTTACATGGAATTTATTAATAATAAATGTCTTGGTTCGTATGTGCCGTTTCTTCTCGAGTCTCTTTTCGTTTATTGTGAAAGGTACTAGCCTACTTTTGAAATTTCTTTTTTAATCATCATTCCAACATTAAAATGAGAAAATTGCTTAAATTTCTTCTCTGTTGTGTTTACTTCATAGTAGGTTCACGAAGCTCGTTCGTTGTGCGTATGCTTTTCATTTGTCTGAAGTAAAATTCCTGTTCACTAGTAAACTAGGAGGTATGTGCTCATCTTGAACGCGGCTCTTTCGACCGTCGTGATTTTTTTATAGAACGCCCCTCGCAGCGACGTGCCTTCTAAAGACTTAGCGAGTCTTTGTTCCAACTCATTTCCATTTCCTTACGCGTCCGCAAGCGCTTGCCGCTTTTATTCGTCTATAATTCACGAGTTTAATGTATTGGAAAGTAACGTTACTCTCTGGACCATTTGCTTCCGTGGCCATATGGTCTTTTTCTTTCATCTAATGTTTCTTTTGAGCTTGCGTTTGAAATTTGACGCAGAAAAATATGAACTATTCCAGTGCGTCAACAGCGAAATGCAGAACATGTAGGGCTGCCTGACCCCTCAGTTGCATCGAAAGGCATAACATGTACGTACTGTAGGTATTATTGATTCTGTCAGTTTCATAGAAATTCAGCAATTTACGTGATTCTGTCAGTTACATCGAAATCCAAAACATGAAGAACAAAACACCAACACAGCAAACATAAACTCATGTGTGATGTATTCTTAAATGAGTTACCGTATCTTTTTTTTCACGCAACTCTCTTCTTAAACATTTTCAGCTTTTGTTCATTTCCTGGTTGATAGTACATAGGAGTGTTATTGTATTGCATCAAAAATTCAACAATTTTTTTACCGCTATAATTTCGGTACACGTTTTCGTGCTATTTACGATTAGTCTGTGGAGGAACATGAAAGTAAATCAAGCCTTACACTAGAATGATGATTAAGAGAAGTTCGACTACCTATCTCTCCAAAATCTTGCTTATCTCAATAATAACAGCTTCAGTTGCCGGTGTCACTCCAGTAACTCTCGCTTAACTATTTTGGCAGCAAAACTCGCCAAATTTTAGATAGCGGCTTTCGATTGCCCGAGTCTATGCAACTCTTCAATCAGACTGTAATTTTTTTTTTTTTCACGCCTGCATTGAGTCGGAGACGACGCCTGTTATCCGATCTTTGGTGTGGCATTTGAGATCGATTAGACCTCTGTTAGAGTTGTAAGGAACCCATTCATGGTTGCTTGTGAGCTGTGCTCCGTCTCCAAAGGGGCCTGAAATTCATGCCTGCAAGTTTGGTTTGTCCTCCACTTTAGTGTATCAGTGTTAGTCTAAATTGCTTTAATCCTTTTCGATATTAAGTATAATTTATTGACTTTAAGTGTTTTTATGTTGCATTACATGACACCGTAAGCTGTTTCTGTATTGCATATATCATGTTTGATGGATTTTTACCCTAGCTTGATTTTGAACTCATTTTATCTGTATGAAGGTTTTTTAGGCTCGCTTCGCATTTTCAAGTAACACTGAAAGCGGCTACTCATCAAGAAAGACTGGCTTCTCAGTCAAGCTCAACTATGATTTCATCTAAACGTCAAACGATACATCCATGTGTTGATTTATGAGTGCCAAGTGCCCAGTAAAATGAGCACAGAAAAATACTGAACCCGACACCATCAGTGGTGGAGGTTTAGCTGGGCGGTTGCATGGCATTGATTCATGAACAAGAACATTCCTCTCGTGGGCGCAGTGAGTCGAAGCACCTGCACATGAATGACGTGCATGACATGCACAGTGTACACTGTACAGTGTACTGTAACCGCAGCTGCACTAACATCATCCAGGGTCATGCTAATTTTTCATTAGACAGCTTCCTGGGCAAAAGATAAGCAACCTAATGGAACGACTGCCACAACTTGATACGGTCACTCTCTGCCGTCTATGAAAAACCGAGTTTAGTTTTGTACGCTGGTGCTTGTATGCAATTATTTTCAAGATGAGAGACACTACAAATAATCAAAATAACTGCATAGTGCAGCATTTAGTTAGGAGACGACGGCGTTTCAGCTTAACAAAATAAACAAAAACATGGAACGGTTTTCGTGTTGCTCCGTGCAGTGATTGTCACAGTCCTCGCTATCCGGTAACTCCCTTCCGCTGTTGCATGATGTAGGGATCATTTACCCCCTCCTGGCGCATAGCTCATATGTGTTTTTAGTTCGTGTTTCCATGCATATTTTGATCCAATAATTTAGCCTCTCTTCGATGGATCCACATAACCATGACCTATTCTCGATTTTAACCATGTTGCAAGACGTGATCAGCTAGCGAATATTGTTTGCTTCTGTAACTGTGATTGCCTGGCTTTTACGTTCTTTGTATGTAATTTATTTTGGTACTTTTTTGGAGTAGAGATCATTTGAGCTATTGAAATATTTCGTGACTGTGTACATGCTTTGACAGCGCCAATTTGTGTCAATTTTTAGTTATTTCATTAATGTTGGGCATACTTCTACAATGAAAATAATTTTTAGCCATCGTTCACAATATCGTCGTCACCATTCGAGGCTTCATTCGTATTCTTTTATGTTAATTTTTTTATTAGTTATTTCATTAATGTTGGGCATACTTCTACAATGAAAATAATTTTTAGCCCTCGTTCACAATATCGTCGCGCACCATTCGAGGCTTCATTTGTTTTCTTTTGTTAAAAAATATTTTCTCCTTTTAGATAATCGAAGCGAACTTTTTGAGTTATTTATTTACGATTTGATTCCAACTTCAATCTCTATGTTTTTCATCGTATTTTAAGTTACGATAACGAAAACGACTTTAACGCGGATATTTTCCATGTCTTGTATTCTAGTCCTGTGTTGTGCACAAATTTAAAACATTGGTACTTATTTTGAAGCCCTGCCTTGTGATCACAATTTTTTTACTCTGCTGGGGGGCTAGATTAGCCTACTGTAGTTACCCACCCCAAAGTTTTCTCCAAAATGATTGTAGAAAATCGTTCATGTGGGAGGGAGACAACGTTACCTGTTATCAATGCGCCAACAATTTGGTGTTTGAGATTGCTCTTGCCATGATATTGTATTGTTATGAAATCAGAATATAGTTTTATGTCTTCTTCATTCAGTCTGTAATGACGGCGGTCCTCACCTCAGGATGAACAGTGTTAAATCGGAGACCTCTTGTCATACAAACTTCTGAAAGTTCTGTTCATCTCTTTTTAACATGAAGAAACTAGCAGTAAATCTCGAAAGGAGAAGCGGCCCTAAAGACACACCCGTCCTTCATTAACTTGTATGTAGAGAGTCATAGGCGTTTTTTAAGATTACTCTTTTGTTTGTGCAGAGGGCCGCGAGTATCCATATCTGCGGGAGATGCGCGAGCGTCTGCTAAGCAGCGACGATCCTCCGCCCCTTGCCGTCATGGATGAGCACCACAACCACCCTGAGGCGCGTCTGCTGCAGTGCCAGCAGCAGCACACGCCTGTTGGCACTGTCGTCAAGGTCAGAGTCGTTCAGTAACATCTTTAGGTTTGGTGGGCTAAACCGTGGTTGAAAATGTAAGAGAAATTAGCTATAACATCTTCTGCTGTATCGGGCTAGAGCGTGACTGAAATTGTTTGAAATTATTTGCAACTACTTCATGTTTGTCTGGCTAAACCGTGGCTATTTGGAATAAGAATTAGAATTGTGCAATTATTATTGTTAATTTTTTGTGTCCGATGCACTCGTAACAGATTGGTTAGTTTTACAAAATATAAACTTGTTCTATGTAACCATTACTGACATATCCGGTGTTCCCGTTACTGACTAGTTCGGTGTATGTGTAACGGACGTATCATATTTACCGGTAACTGACGTGTCCATTGAGCCCATGNAACTGATGTAAACAACGTAACTGATGTAAACAACGTAACTGATGTAAACAACATAACTGATGTAAACAACGTAACTGATGTAAACAACGTAACTGATATAAACAACGTAACTGATGTAAATAACGTAACTGATGTAAATAACGTAACTGATTTAAATAACGTAACTGATGTAAACAATTTAACTGACGTTAACGACGTAAGTGACGTACCCAACGTAAATGACTTACCGAACATAACCTACTTTCCCAACGCACCTGACGCACCCAACGTAACCGCCGTGCTCCACGTAACTTTAGCGTCGTACCGTGCAGCTGAACGCGGACGGCTACGGCTCTCACACGTCTCCCACACACCGCGTAGAGTCCTGCTACACCAGCACCCTGGAGCGCCGCCGCGGCCCTGTTGCCGTCAACGTCTTCGGCGGCCTCGCCAAGAACGCTAAGTCAGTCTTCCTGATTTTCTGCTTCTCTGTACTTATGCTTATTCTAAACCTGCCGCGTCTTGAGTGCAAGTGCCAAGGTGGCTTAACAAAATTTTCAGTTTTTGTAGCACTTGAAATATTATATTTATTATATTGATCATTATATTGCACTAGCAATATAATGATCGGTTTTTGCCGAGTATTCTTTTAATCCTTGAAAGAAAAAATAATTGGTGCATTAATTTTTTTGCTTGCTATTTTTTCTACCAGTAGCATTTCTCTATATTATAGCAATTCCATTTTCATATTCCATTTTCGACTTCGAGCTGAATTCGCACATTTTCGATGCTGCTGTTCAATGTATATTGTTGCTGTTCCGACGGAAAAAGTGAATTTTTAACGTGAATAAATTAAGGTAAGTTGATGAAAATGGTCTTCTTGGAACGACAATTCTTGATGAAATATTGAACCTTTATACGCATTTATTCCCGTTAAAAAAAATGGGAGCCAGTTCGATAAACGTTTTAACACGAACTATAGTTTACGTATGCCAAAGACTTGATTGATTTCATCGCTCATACAATTTTTGTTTTCGTTCGTCCCCTCTTTTCACTGCCTTTAGTTTTTCTGAAAAACCTCGGGAGACAAATCACTTGGATCTAACCTTACCAAAACAATACTATATTCCATTGAAAGCCAGGGACTTTATGATCAAAGCGCCTAAGAATTTTAATTGAGTCAACTAGGGAAAATTCATAGATCTGTTCCTTGCCAGTTGTGTGTATTTGAAAGGAAAGTTAGTGGCAAGGCTAATCTCAATATTTACTGAAATTATCTTCATTTAGTGGCATCTATCTTTTTCGAACTGTGAAAATATCCTGCTACCTTTGATTCCTTGAAATAACATATTTTTTCAATTTATGATAAAAACGCTTTTAATTGCCTTGTATCCGGGCTAGGTATTGTTTGGGACAGTCTCTTGATGGTCAAAATCAATAATTTTTTTCAATATTATGCGTGCAAGTCACAACAGTCCCGTATTTTTTTTTATTTGCGTCTGTTAATTCCCATTGGGAAGCATGCGTGCTCCCTGGCAGTTGTTATCGTGGCGGCTGGAGTTGCTTGTGTCAGGACCTAGAGGCGCTGACCGCGGCATGGCCTGCTGTGAGTGTTATGGCTCTCTCATATGGCCTCCCTGGTCCATCATCTTGCTCCTTAGAGCCACTAAATTAGCGGGGATGTTAGGCTCACACTGACCACATCCTCGTCCCTGCCTACTGTCAAGGGTGTGTCAGCGCTTGTACCGGGCTCTTAAGTTTTGTCAAATCTTTTTGTGATGCACTGTTTGTATGTAAAATTATTTACCAATCTGTACTCGGTTAGACCATAATTGTACAGCTGTTGGCTATCATTTATTACGTGTTGCTATGGTGTAAAATTTGAATGTCCTCCCGACACAGGATGCGAATAGAAATGGCAATGGTTTTTGCAAGTTCGCGAAATTTCAGCTATACACTTTTGTATCAACTAAAATTTATTTTGTTAAACTTCAGAGCAGTAACTTGCATCCGCCAGTTTAAATGGAGTCTCCATGCAACCTTCATGAACCATAGGGAACGAAATGCAATTTGCGAATTGTGTAATCCCTCGTAGTTTGGAATTTTTAAGTGCTAACATATTTTATGCTTCATGAATGACGAAAGGAGTAATGGGCCGAGAAGTAATGATCAAAATATTTATATCTGAAATAAATTGTGTAAAAAATCTGATGCCAAGTACCACTTATTTAATTATTTGCGAGTATCGCAAATTATTCCTATCAGTTCGGTGAACACATTTTAATAAGCCAACGACATTGTCGGAATGACATGATTTACGACATGTTGTGTGTTGTTCGAAATAAGGTTTAGTAAACAATTGACCTTGTTGTAAACCTTTGACCTTGATTTACAACATGATTTGTGTTGTTCGAAATAAGGTTTAGTAAGCCATTGACCTTGTTTAGTGTTGCTCACACTGCTCGGGTCATGTCCCAGACATCACCGAGTATGGGTAACCAAAGGACGCGGTCAGATCTAAGTCGTCCCCGAGACCCTCCCTCAGCTCTGGTATCCTTGAACTCTTCTGTCCCAGACGTCCTCATTCTGCTCTCCATTCAGCCTACATTTCATGACCTTCTTTCTTCTTTAATGGCACACAAAGCAGAAATTATTTTCTTCTGACCGTTTTTAGCTCATTTTCTCATTTATGGAAAAAAATTACCATTGTGCTCGCCATGTCCGTCCATCTGTCTGTCCGTCCGTGACTTCACGGTTTAGTCGACGAGAAAATGCGCTCTCTGTCACTCACTGCAGTGAGTACCTACTGAGTTACATTTTTTCTATTTATTTTCTGAATTGCCTTTTTCTATTTTATAAATGAAAGGTTGTCGTCGTTGACCTTGACTACTGGTCTCTTTACCTGGTGGCCTCCAGACTGATTTTATAGCTCGTTCCATGTTGTGACCTAGTCTTAGTGGATAATTTTACTTTTCTCGCAATCGAAGTCATTTTCGTGAATGATCATTACATGGTTATTGTTACTTAACTGTACTGATTTTGCTAACATTTTTTGCGATTTTATTTGGCAATGTTTTAATGAAATGTATTCGAACGTTCCGTCAAAATAGAGATAAATCAGAGAAATGAAGATTTAACCAGCCCATATGTAAGCTTGAATTGAATGATCGCGTGCCTAGACTCCCATTACTGGTAATCGCAATGCTGCTAATAATTTACTCAGTTTGCAGTAATTCTATATTTCTCGTTGGATGTTTTTTTAGAATAAAGAATTTAGATGTTTGAAGTATAGTCCTTAAATTGTGTCAGTTCCTTAAGTGATCGTAGAAAGTAAATTAGCTTATCCTCAAATGGGATGCAAGTAGTAAAGAGAAAATGCAATCGTTTTATTCATTGATTATTGTCAGTCTACTTTGTGCAGATGCCAGGAAACTCGATGACATGAAATATTTTATTGATGCTCTCTTTTCATTTTAAGTTGTACTTCATTTTCTGTTCAAATCACAGAAGAAGTTCTTGTTTATCATTGGAAATAATAGAACCGATGCGAACGAAACAAAATGTCTATTGATGGTGCAGCTAGGCAATCATGATCCAAGCGTTGTCATGTAATCCTTAAATAATTCTTTTCGTAATATAAATCACTCTTTTGTCTTAATAAGTTTCTGCTACACGTTTAAAGCGAGCTTCGATAAGGATAGATCATAATCATCATATGCCCTGAAATTTTGATGGGTGATAATTTGTTGTCCATAAAATTCATTCCGAGTGTTTTTGTATCTCGTTTTTTGATTAAAGGGTTCGTTATTCTTGCTAGCTTGCATTGATTCCGGTCGACTGAAACATAGCTCGATTCTAACAATTTTGCCACTGATAGTAAAACCAAGATAGTGAGTGCGACAAAAAGGCCGTAAAGCCATTACCTGAAAAATATGGAATACCTCGCACGTGTTCATGTGTGACAATAGTCGTTTGCTGACCCACAACTAAAGCAATGACTTTGTTTACACTCGGCGCATGTTATCGAGAGCCAGGTTATGGGATGCTGCCTCTCTGGGACAGAGCGCTTCTCGCTGCTGCCATCGATCGGCTGCGAGATGCGCGCGTAACTCCGTGGCCGTGGCCCCTGCTCTCTCTTACTCTGTGTCTGCCCTCCCAGTTGTACTCGTGCCCCTCCTCTCTTACCGGGGTGTGTGTGTGTGTAGATTCGTGGTTTGATTCTCTTTATGATATTTATCAGACGAGAATCTTGAAATTCAGTTCGAGTTAAGTGGGTGTGTGTAGTTTCGTGGTTTGATTCTCATTATGATATTTATCAAACGAGATTCTTGAAATTCAGTTCGAGTTAAGTGGTTCTATTCGAACCAAGCAATTAGTAACGATTTGTGTTGAAATTATTCTTAAATGTCAACTGTACATCGAGAGATCATTAGGCTTTGTTAACTTGAGCTATTGGTGTCATCATTTGTTTAGCGTTGTTCCTGTCTGTCTACCAATATTACACAAAATGTTGAATTGTTTGCAACGTTAGATAACTGAACTAAAGATGAAATGCCTGAGAGATCGCATGGTACAGCCTGTGCTAGCTTCTTTTGGTATTCATGGGTGTTGCTCAAAGCTGTTCTTGTCGCCCTGGAGTAGAATCGTGCCAATTTTGATGTATTTTTGGTGCCTCGTATCTCTTGAGACGTCTCTCAGGAAGAGTCTATGGTCTGTTTTATGGTATTTATGGAAGTGCTAGACTGGCGCATCGAACTAGAAAAGAATTCGCGTTCTCTTGTAAAAATTTTCTCCTAGGGAACGGTTGCTGCAGACATATCAGAAATAATGGGTAGTTACGAGTGACGATGAAAATCTTTTAGCAACCTATTAATTTTACCCTCATAACTTCGTGTGAGAGAAACATTTTAACATGCCTCTTCTTTCAGAATTTCGCATTTGTTTTCTTCTTACTCTCTTACAATGAAAAGGATAAGTGAACTGCATTCTATTAGACTGATGTCCATTTAATTTAGTGGAGATTCCAATCTTGTGATTGCAGCCAAATTGGAATTTTCGGATAATGCAACCGCCATCATTTCATTAGTGGATGCGAGTAAATTGATTCACTACAGCAACCTATTTGGGACAGCCCTGTAGATTATTCTCGGGGAATATAATTATTAAAGTGCTGATTCAAAGTGCGTGTTGCATGATACAAATTGAAATCGGTCATTTAGTGCCATTGCTTTGCGTTCTGATTTTTCCACTCAGTTAGTACTGCATATAATTCATATTCTCTTATCTTCGAGTTAGCATACCTATTGAAGAAAAGCTTTGATATTTTTCCCCGCTTAAATTTCTGATAAGAAATCTCAGCAGCGCTATATGGCCATTTGTATTTCGTGTTCGAGGAGTTTATAAGGCTCCCTGGTGACAAATATGTCAGGAATAATCCACGGCATTGTGACTCCAGCTTTCGAG